TTTTGAGACAGAGTCTTGCTCTGTCACCCAGACTGGAGTACAGTGGCATGATCTTGGCTCACTGCAACCTCCACTTCTGGGTTTCAAGTGATTCTCCTGCTTCAGCCTCTCAAATAGCTGGAACTACAGGCACCCACCACCACGCCTGGCTAAGTTTTGTATTTTTAGTGAGAACAGGGTTTCACCATATTGGCCAGGCTGGTCTTGAACTCCTGGCCTTGTGATCCACCTGTCTTGGTTCCCAAAATGCTGGGATTACAGGCGATTCTTTTTCTTTTCAAGTTATATTTTGTCACTATGCAAATACCCAGTTACGTATCAACTCTTAACATAATAGCTTTAGTATGATTATCTTTGCCTGTATTAATTATTTCATGAGGAGTTGAAAATGGTCATGTTTCTAATTCTGTTAGTATTTGGCAGTCATCTGAAAAGACACATTTCCCCTCATCAGCTGGTGCTGTTGGTTTCTCTGAAATATAGTTTGTACTGAAAAGAGAGGATAGATTTTTTAAATACTTTTGGTTTAATTATTCATTTTCTAAGTAAGTAGTTGGTGTAATAATCACCTCAAATGGTGGAAAATGAGCATAAAAGCCTGGTTCCTAGTCAATGATAGCCTCAAGACTTTTGACATAAAATTATACTTGCATTTCAGTGTACTACTTTCAGTCCTCCTTCTCTTAGGGTCTGTGATTAATAGGTTTATCTACCCTTTATGACTTATCTGAATTTCTTATCGGTATATTTATGGACTATCATATGAAACAGTATTTGCTTTTTTCTGAAGCTCAAGTTTTAAGGAGAGACTCTTAGTATCTTGAGATATGGTGAACCTTAGTTTCTGCTTTGCTTCCTTCTTTACTTTTTGTCTTACTATTTCTAGTAAGCAGAACTTGCTGCTAAAGTTTAATCTTGCTACTGAGTTTTTAAAGATTTTATTTCTTGCAGTTAATTCTTAAAGTTTATGAAGTTCCATGTCAAAATTTATATTGGTAAATGTTTATCAATTTCTTTTTGTTTGAACACATGTCCCAATATTGACATAAGTCCAAGACTGTCAATTCATTTTTAAGTCTTATTCCCTAATGGAACTCATGAAGGAAGAGCATATAGTATCCTGATCTACAACTAAGTTCTATACATTGCCAACCTGTAACGTTGCACTTTTTTGTTTCTGTGTTTGTACTGAGTGTTCATATAGTTTAGCACATGGAGAATAAGTATCACTCACGCATATAATACTTACAGCCAGACTACTCTTAACAGCGTTACTAAGGATAATATCTTAGTACTTCCCCTAACTTGGTGTACTGATTTAAGTGGGTCCAGCTAAAGGTAATATTTTACTTTGTTCTTGTAGGAGATTATTTAGATTTAGTCATTGAACTAAAAAGTGTGACTCCCTTAGTTTATCCTAGCTTTCTCATTTCTTTTTAGAACATTGAAATGAAGTTTTATAGCCCCTAAGCCAAAGGACATTTAATTTTTTATTTGAAAGAAACTTCAAGTAGCATTTGGTTGTTCTGGGAGTATTAAAAACTTAGTTGATAAATATTTATTTATATAAAGACATCACTTGTCATATCCATGTCAAAGTGAACAATTATGTGTCTGTTATCTAACAAATACTGTGATAGGCCAATTTTTTTCTTGGTATTTGAGTTAATGCTGACTACTAACTTTTGAAGTAGGTAATAGAAACAGCCTGGATAATCTAAATCTCTTACCCCAAATCACAAAACCATAAGCTCTGAAAAAAAGGCAAATTTATTAGTCTTCCTTATTTTCAACGTTTCTGATGAGTTAAGATGATACCTCGTAATTGAATTATGAGACTGACTGGAAAGAAGAGAGAATGCCGTAGTTGAGAGAGAGTGAAAGTCTTGTGTAGAAGTACTTTCACTTTTCGGTGCACATCCTTGGCTTAGGTGATAGATTTGGTTAGGAGTACAAAATGTAGTGTTTTGTCTGTTGTGTACCTTGTGTGTGTGCCACCCTTCCTGCTGTAATTACTATACTTGCCTGTCCTTGGCCTGTAATTATAACTTTGTGTGTATGGTTATAATTCTGAGGTCTAACCTGGGTGGAATATCCTCAGTCAGCTATTTTGTATAGGATTGGAAAGATATTTTAAATATGTAGAATCATTTTTCTGCTACTTTTGAAAAACCAGGTGCATTACTGATTTGCAAGGTCTGGTTTTTTACAAGACGCCTTTTTGTTTCTTTTTGAATAGAAAGATGAAAACTACAGAAGCCTCCCACGGGATACTAGTAACTGGTCTAACCAATTTCAGAGAGACAATGCTCGCTCGTCTCTGAGTGCCAGTCACCCAATGGTGGGCAAGTGGCTGGAGAAGCAAGAACAGGTAACATGACAAATCCTTATATGTGCGTCCTTGCTGTAACATCCTATCCCACACCCCAAAGATGTTTCTCCCATTTCAATCATTGGTGATGATTAAAAGTAAAGTATTCTAACAAACTTTAGTTAAGTACCATTCTGAATGTCAGAGTTTATCTAACATAAATGTAGGATATTTTTGTGCCAGTCACTGATCAGAGATTTATTGTGAGCAGTTATGAATATTTGCAGTAGATTCTGAAGGTTCAGGACTTTAGAATTTGTATTGCTGCAGAGGCACAGGTGTTTGGCAGTGAATCATGCTGTTTGTGAGTAGACTTTCAAGGCTCTTCTCTTCTTTGATAGGTAATAAGTCGAAGGATCTGAAGACGCAAATTAAAACTTTCTGTCATATCTAAGTTCACTGTATGAGAGAAATATGTCCTATGGTGGTGTTTTAGAATTTAGATTACAGTATTTTGTCATGTTTGGGCACTTATCCCTTCATAAATGTCAAGGACCTATTTTAGGTTTATCAGTCTTCAGAGTTATCTATTTCACTGTGCAGTGCAGTCACCTACAATTCATGAAATCAGGATTGTTTACCACTCAGAAATAATTGTTTTCTGCCTTGGAAAGAATGACCGTTTACAAAGTTGTTACATCACTGTTAGAGAAGTCCTTCCTTTTTATGAAGACTAAGCATGTATCTGATGAGTTAATTCTTTCCATGTTATTTTTTTAGTGCTTCAGTTCTTTTTTATTTACTTACAATGGGTTTTTTTTTATAGTAGGGAATCCCAGTATTGCAATTGTAATTGTGTTTTCTCCTAGCTTTATTGAAGTTTGATTGAAAAATAAAAATAGTATATATTTAAAGGGTACAGTGTGAGGTTTTGATATATGTATATATTAATAAAATGATTGTCACAATCAAGATAATGTATCTATCACATTACATAGATATAATTTTGTGTGGTGAAAACACTTGAGATCTACTCTGTTAGCAAAATATTTTTAAAATTGCTTCATTTTTTTGAGATAGGGTTTTTTTCTGTCACCCAAGCTAGTGTGCAGTGGTGCAGATGTAGCTCCCTAAAGCTTCGAACTTCTAGGCTCAACTGTTCCTCCTGCCTCATCCTTTCTGATAGCTAGGACTACAGGTTTAAACCACCGTGGCCAGCTAATTGAAAAAAATTTTTTTTTGTAGAGACAGGGTCTCACTTTGTTGCCCAGGCTGGTCCTGAACTCCTGGCTTCAAGTGATCCTACTGCCTTGCCCTCCCAAAGTGCCATGGTTATAGGTATGAGATACTGTGCTTAGCCTCTTAGCAAATTTCAAGTATAAAATTAATTAGACTCGTATGCTATACATTAGGTCTCCAGAGGTCATTCATCGTACAATTGAAAGTTTTTACCCTATGGCAGTATTTTTCCTTTTTCTACACCCCACTCCCTTGTAACCACCATTCTACTCTGAGTCATTTTTCCCCCCCAAGATTCCCCTTACAAATAAAATCATACATACAGATTTTGTCTTTCTGTGTTTGGCTTATTTCTCTTAGCATAACGCCCTTTACGTTCATCCATATTGTCACAAACATCAGAATGTCCTCTTTTATTAAAGGCCAAATAATACTCTGTTTTATACATTTATGTACACACACACACACACACACACACACACACACACACACACACACACACTGTATATTACATTTTCTTTATCCATTCCTCTGTTGTAGGTCACTTAGGTTGTCTCCATATCTTGGCTATTGTGAATAATGCTTCTGTGTACGTGGAAGTGCAAATATGTCTTTAATATAATGATTTTATTTCTTATGGATATGTATGCAGAAGTGGAATTGCTGGATCATATGGTAGTTCTCTGTTTTAAATGTTTTGAGGAGACTTCATACTTTCATAGAGGCTGTCCTCATTTACATTACCACCAGCAGTATACCAGGGTTTCCTTCTCTCCACATGCTCACTAACGCTTATGTTGTCACTTTTTTTTTTTTTTTTTTGAGATGGAGTCTCTCTCTGTTGCCCAGGCTGGAGCACAGTCGCTCAATCTTGGCTCACTGCAACTTCCACCTCCCGGATTCAAGCTTTTCTCCTGTCTCAGTCTCGAAAGTAACTGGGATTATAGGCGAGCACCACCATGCCCAGCTAATTTTTTATATTTTTAGTAGAGACAGGGTTTCACCATGTTAGCCAGGGTGGCCTCAAACTCCTGATCTCAAGTAACACACCTGCTTCAGCTTCCCAAAGTGTTGGGATTATAGGCGTAAGCCACCGTGCCCGGCCATATTTTGATGTTTTGATAACAGTCATCCTACCAGTGTGAGGTGATGTCTTACTTTGCTTTTGATTTACATTTCCCTGGTGATGTGATGCTGAGTCTCTTTCAGTGCTTTTAATAAATAAAAAGCCACGTGTTTGTTTAGTTGGTCACTTATTTTCTTAAAAAAGTTTCTATGGATGGAAAACAAGGTGAGTGCTCAGAGTTTAGTTGCTTTAGTAATTTTTAAAATTATTAATTTTGTTAACTAAATGGAATCAATTGTTTTTCAACTTAGATTAATGATAGCTGTAGAAAGAAATTGTAAGTGTTTTGCATATTTCATCTCAGCCTGTTTTGTAGCATAAAGTTCCTAAAATAACTTTGTGGATGCAGGGTATTCAAATATGAAACAGCAGAAAGGGCCAGCTTGCCTTGCACACCCTGATGGCACAGGAAATGTCCTGATTTTATCATAAAGTAAGTGTTAGCATACAAACATTGTGTGATGGAAATAATTTTAAATAGTAAAACAACCATGGCAGTTCTATGAAGGAAACGTAATTTTCTCAACGTAATACAGATTTTTAAACTAATTGATATTAGTATCTTATAGTTACTTTGACATAAATGTTTTTAAGATTTAGATAGTTTCTCATGGGCCCAGGAGTCAGACTGACTAGTTAGTAGCTGTGTACCATATGTGAGACTTGGGCAAATTACTCTACTTGTCCGTACATTAGTTTACTCATCCAGCAAGTGGGGATAATTGTAGACCTTGTCTTGGGTTGCAGTGTCAAGTGATACAATACCCGCCGAGGGCTTAGATTCAGGCCTGGTACCTGGAAATATTCAATGTATTAATATAAAAGTTAGGACAGATAACAGTCAACCTGGAATCTAGAATGAAGAGACGTTTGGCATGTATGTAGCAGGAAGGGTGGAACTAGGGAGGACCTGGGTGATAAGCGTGGAGCTTAGCCGCCTCACTGACATTTTTTCAGGGAGCCTTCCTCAGGACCATCTTAGCTCTGGGCTCTAGCTTGCTCATTTCTTTCAGAGCCACATCCTTGCACAAAGGAGAGGGAACAGAGCCTTTGTCTTCTTTATGTGGCTCTTTGTAAAAGCAAATCCATTTTTTCTAATAACCTCCTCACAGATCCCTGATCATGTTGGCTGGAATTGCCCTACTCTTCTGCCCATGTCAAAATCGAAGGGAGCGAAAGCACTGGTCCAGGTTTCCATGGATAGAGCTTGACCTCTGGAGCTGGAGCTGGGGCAGGAGCTCCCTTGTTCACCTTCAGTGAAACACAGTTGCCGGTCACTACACACAGTCAGGGGTCTGTTGAAGCAAGAAGCAAGGGATATTTGGACAGCGGTGGGGAGTGACAACTAGAAGTTGGCTGAGAATGCTAAATAAGACCTTTTTTTTTTTAACTGCAAAATTGGTAGAAAAAGATGGGCAGCCCAGAGTTTCTAATATACAACTTAATTATAAAGATGTAACTTTTATCTTTCTATTGTCATTGTAGATCTGTTTTTAAGGAAGTAGTATAGTTATTCTTTGTAAATTTGGTATAAAATAGTTTCTTTTTAAGCAAAAAGGATGGCATTGAGAAGCCACACACACCAAAGTCCGAGCTTTGATTTGCTTCTGTTAAAGTTACTTGAGTTAGTTGTTTGCATAGACTGAGGGGGCATCCAAGTCTAAAAACATTTTCTCTGGCATAAGTGTAAAAAAATGATAATCCATTCCTTAAATATGATTTGAGTGAGACTGTATACTAGAAGAGTAGAAGCCATTGATGTTTTCACATCTAGCAGAATAATTAAACCAAAATTTATTGAGCAGGACAAGAAACCACACAAACAAAACAAAGCCCCCTCTAAAATCTTTTCAGAAGTAAGCTCTGTTGTTTGTGCAGGTTATGCTTTATACACTGGAAATCTATTCCACCTATTTCCCATTTAATTGTGGGTTTATTCTGTTTACCATTCTCAGAAGTCACCTGAGTTTAATGATCTGATGTCTCTTCTGAGGCTTTTTCTCTTTAGTTTTTGCTATTAAGCATATAATAAAGAGGATTGCATCATGTAGTTGGAAGAATATTTTCTATGTTTAAAAAAAAGAAAAAAGAAAAACCCCCTGCCTTTCCAATTTGGGAACACCAAGGTAGAACTGATGGCTATTTTCCTGTAGTTGTGTGGTCTGGAGCAAGGTCAACAGAGTTCTAGCTTTTATGTGCCTCCTGTGGTTTTGTTTTTGCTCTGTTTTCTACTTAGTGCTTCTTTCTCATTATCTGTTTCTGAAGGCAGTTATGTTGTTATCAGCTTTACCAGTGGGAATAAGCAGAAGAAATGGAAAGGCAAAAGAGGACTTTAAAGTGCTAAGCTGGCAGGCCCCTCCAGAAATCTAGGGTGTCTTATTCTTTGGGTGGTAATGAGTCTTATTTCTATAAGAATATTGGTTAGTTTTATCTCTGTAACAAAAGATAGGTTATATATCTCATTAGAACTCTGTGTCAGGAAGCACGACGTAATTTCCTAAAAGAGTAGCTGGACTTTTCAGTTGCTAATCACCTTGTTCAGAATAACTCGTAGCTGAATCCTACATCAGATTTATCTCACAAAGTAGAGCACTGTTATCTTTTAAGCGTTCTTTTATGTCAATCTTGACATCAGAAGGGAGATTTCAGAGGAAACAAAAGATTTGAAAACTAAATGGTTTGTAGTTGTATTACT